CGTTTTAAGTGTTTTTAGTTACTAGCGCCAGTCCGTTGCCATTTGAGATTTTCAGATAGAGCAGCAGTTATGCTCTTGAGATCTTTGAGACAGAGCAGCAGTTATGCTCTTGAGATATTTAAGTTAAGCAGCAGTTATGCTCTTGAGATTTTTAAAATGAGCAACAGTTATGCTCTTGAGAATCGTGGAAGAAGAGCCTTCCCCAATAAGTTTAAGTTTGAGGAACGCCTTGATGGCTTCTCATACGTATGAGTTGGCAATCGGACTAGCTAGTGAGGGATCCCCATGTCAGTCAAGTATTTAAGTCGAGATTTGAGCTTTAAGAATGGAGAGTAACAGTAACTCCCATATAGTTTTAAGAGTTAAGTTTTTTTTTTTAATAGGGGAAGTACAAAACAATTTCCACTCAGTTAAGTAAAGTGATCAAGTATTAATAAGATGTTAAACCTAAGGGCGTAGACTGACCCCATCTCACGCACCAGTTTGAAGAGCTAGAGGAGCTAGAGAAGCAGTTAGTGAGCAACGAGTTCGAGGGCAGCTAGCTAGAGGAGAGCAGTATAAGCGTCACGGAGGATGCTTAGTCAAGGTTTTCAGTAGCAACAACATTAGAGATTATTAGTTATTTACATTTATGATTATGAGTATAGACTGGAGATCATTTTGAGATTTTAAGTATTGAGTTTGCCCATGTGTTAGGGCGTTGCTTTAAACTCAAAGTGTGTGTTTTCAGTATTTTATTTCTGAAAATTCTTACCGCTGCAATTTAAGATTTGAGTATTTTATTTATCAAGGGCATTTTAGTGAGAGTAGTACCCGGCCGGGTTAGGGTGTTTCACTAACTAGGAGGCAATGAATTACCCAAGGAAACCTAGCATTAAAGCCTCTTTCAAAGAAAGGAAGATGGGTTTTCTCTCTACCTAGGTTAGAATGGCAATTAGATTGACAGGCTTTCACACAACACATCACAATCATTCATGAATAATACCTCCACATTCACATTAAACACAACCACATACAGAATCATTCAATTCATACAAGCATTCACATAATTGTAGCTAGGGTTTACAAACACCCAAGTGAAAGAAGGGACTACTCCATGCTAAGAGAAGGGAAAAAAAAAGAGAGGGAAAGAAAAACAATCAAGAAGATGAAAGCCTTGCTCTTTGTGTTGAAGAGATCCTCCTTTGGGGGAGGAACTCCCAAATCCTTGCTTGGAAATGAAACCCTAGCTTCTCCTCTTCTTTGGTTCGTCACTTTCTCACTCTAAAATCTGAAGAAGAAGAAGTTTCTCACACTAGGTCTCTCCCTTTCTTTTTCCTTTTAGCTGGATCTTTATAATGAGATTGAACCCAGTTCACGGCCTGAATTCACGACCGTGAATATCAAAACGCGTCCATGAACTCAGAGTGTTGAAATAAAACGCAACTCTTCACTTTCTAGGTTCACGGTTTGTGATTGCAGTTCACGGTCTTAGCAACCATGAATAGCCTTGGCGTCAGTAACCTCATAACCCTCTCCAGACACTCCTTGGTTCACGGATTGTAGCTCCAGTTCACGGTCCTGGAGACCGTGAACTCCAATGGCACACCGTGCACTATGGCTGTCTCGTCCTCTTTGCCTGGTCTTGGCTCCTTTTCTTCCAACTTTCGACTCCGGGGTTAGTTTCACCTGTTAGGATCTGAAACACACTGAAACATAAGAAACCTAGCGTAAAACCACCCCTTTTGGATCTCAATTGCAACAAACGTCAAGGAGAAAAGGAGATAAAAAGTGTATAATTAGGCCCGAATCAAAACAAAGGGAAATAGGAATAGTAAATAGTGGCGCTATGAACTTTGTATGAAGTCAAATATGTATGAATTGCAGGGTGGAACTATATTTGATGATGCTACGTAAATAGATTTGTTGATATGACTTGAATCGGATGATCTGTCGTCGAATGGAAGTAACGATAATTTTGCTACTCTGGTCAATGAGTTGGGGTCCAAAGCCAACGCGTGCGGTTAGAGGGCTCAGGGGAGCAAGGTGTTGCCCCAATATATAAGCTTGTACATGTTTGGCCTTCTGATGTGGACATGGTTTGTAACCTTACTTTTTACTAGATTGTATTAGGGTTAGACCAATGAAAAAGTACTATATATACTTATCATACTCCTTTGTCTTTTGTAATCTCCTCAAATATAGTGAATCTAGCTCTCCCGTCCATGGACTAGCTAACGCACACGCTATGTTAGTGAATCATGTAAATCTGTGTTCTTTTTTATTGCTGATTGATAGTTACTTTCTTATATTGTCGATTAAGCCCGAATGGGTGATAAGATTTGTATTGATTTTCCTATTTTCCAGTTTCCTTCCTAGACTTTAATTCTGAGAAAGTCCAGATGGAGTGGGTTTTATGGATCCATCGTCCCATTTGCAATTGGTCGATCGTGTACTTTAGGGTTTAACTTTTCTAGGCAATAAGATGACAAGGTGTTTACCCATAAAAAAATTAGCTTGTACCATATCGATTAACTGCAAGAGACTTAATTGATTTATAAGGCCAACTCAACATTAATAATAAAATGAGCTAGTTAGGCCTTGTTGGGTTGGGTTTTTTGGGTCTAAATGGCCAAACCCCTTCTTCCCTATACGATGGTTGACCCGTCTCCGTGGCCCCCATAACCGGACTATGCCTCCACTCCTTGGTATGAAATTTGGCTCCCAAAAATTAAGTCTGGAAAAAAGCGACACAACGGGGTGCCAAACGACCGGGTACCAAGCAGGAAACCAAATAGGAGGCCATCTAAAAACTAAGTCTGGAAACAAGGCGACACAACGGGGTGCCAAACGACCGGTTACCAAGCCGGGTGCCGAATGAGGGGGCCATACGATAGGGTGTCATACCATTCATCGCAATAGGGGGGCAAGCAGACAAGGAAGATACCAAAATACAAGAAATTTGGCTAAGTATGGAGCCAAAGGGGGTACCAAGCGGGCAAGGCAGGCTTGGTGCTAAGAAATATGAATTTGTCCAAGTATGGTGCCAACATGGTATAAAGCTGACAAGGCAGGGCTTGTTACCATGACCTAGAATTTGACTAAGTATGGAGCCAAAGGGGTATCAAACCGACAAGGCATGCTTGATACCAAAAGACATGAAAATTGGCTAAGTATGGAGCCAAGAGGGTACCAAGGCGGCTAGGCAGGCCTAATACCCAAATATACGAAAAATGGCTAAGTATAGAGCCAAGAGAATATCAAGCTGGCAAGGCAGGGTTTGGTACCAAGACATGAAAAAACATGGATTTGGCTAAGTATGGAGCCAAAGTGTGGAATCTCATGGCCAGGGGGCCATACCACCCATAGCAAGAGGGTACCAAGATGGCAAGGCAGGACTTGGTACCAAAACATGAAAAGTATGAATTTGGCTTAGTATGGAGCTAAGGGAGTACCAGGTCGGCAAGGCAGCCTCGGTACCAAGACCCCTACACGGTACCAAGTCGGCAAGACAGACTTGGTAGCCAAGCAAGACGATAGGGAACCATGACCCCAAGGGGGTATCAAGCCGGCAAGACTGACTTGGTGGCCACCCAACTAGGTATCAAACCGCCAACGATGGATCGACCAGGATGTCATTATGATGAGGACTCGTAGAGCCCCTTATGGGGTCATATGGAGACTAAGTCCCAAGATGGGCTTGGTGGCCCCCTAGCGGGGTATCAAGCCGGCAGGGTGCAAGGTACCAACTTGATAAGATTAAAAAAACTAAGTATGGAGACCAAGTCGGCAGGGGTGGCTTGATAGAAAGGGTATCAAGCCGACAAGATTGGCTTCATACCAAGATGACAAGTTGGTGCCATGACAGTCTCTCTAAGACTAAGTGTGGAGACTTCGGGGGTAAAAGGGCCAAGTTCTCATCCTGTCTAGGTGGGTAATATGGTCTAACTATCAAGACGGTTCATCTAGGTGGTTAGCAAGATGAGGAGCATGGATTCGTGAGGGTTGTCAAGGATTTGATCAAGACTTCATCATGGAGGTTAAGGTAAAGAGGCTCAATGCTATCCAGTCATGACAGGGCGACACAACTCAACACCAACCCGACTCGACACCGAGACCATCAAAGACCCACCAGCCCCAAGATGGGACAAGGGCCCCAAGGTGATGGTTACCAACCAGCCCCGAGGCGGCAACAAGGGGCCCCAAGGCGGTTTGGAGCAAGAGGTCAGCTAGCAGTTACCAAGGCGGTTACCAAGGCAGTTACACCGAGTGGCTATAAATAGGAGAAACGACGAAGAAGCAAGGGTTCCACAACCAACCATTTGACCCACAATGTCAAACTTTATCCTTTTCTGTGCAAATTAGTCATAGCCTTAGTTTACGGAGCTCTCACTAAACCTCCATAGGAGTAGGTGTAATTAACTTAGTTTTGTTCCCGAAAAACCATCAAAAACATCAAACACCCTCGTTCGAACATTGTTCGGAGAGGAGTGGACCATGTTGATTTTCATTGTTCAAGGAGTCAAGGTGCATTCATTGAGTTCAAACACCAAATTTTCCTCGTCGGAAAACACAAGGACATAATTGAGAATTGAAGGTTCCATTGTGATTAATTATTGAATTTCATGGGTCATATAACTATAACACACATTTGAATTTTTGTGTGGAAATTGGGATTATTTAATCCGAATGGTGGAGAAAATGAGAAACAGACTAGCGTAGACCAAGAATTGACTACTTCAGACTTTTCAAAACTGTGGTGCCTCTTAAGTGTTTTTCTCATCAGGTCAAGGTCAAAACAGGCCAACCGATGGGTCAACCCGAGGGTTGGCAACCTTGTTCATTTTCCAATCCCATATTATTCTTTGATAATTTAATGTTTTAACTGTTTAACTTCATGTTTTGAGCAACATGCTTAGTGAAATTATAAACCAATTTACAAATATGCTCTGAATAACTTTTAATATGTTTTCCTCTTTCGATTTTCATCAATGTAATCTCTATTGCAATAATTCAATTTGTGCTTAATGAGATTTATATTGGCACAACTAAGTATAATCAACTCGAGCATGATGGATTTTGTACCTTCAAATTGTCCTAGACAATGTAATCATAGAAATAAAACCTTAGACAATGTATCCAGAAAAGAAAGGCATTCATATTTCATGGTCACGTTCTTGATCCAACCGCCACAACCTTTTTCTGGTTATTTAATTTGTATGCCAAAGCAACTTGCGCGATTGTGCGGGTGGAGGCAACCCAGGAATGTCTGAGATATCCTTGTTATTAGGATTCACGAGCTGGAAAATATATTAACAAAGGAGAATGATAAGAATCTATGAACTGAAAATCAAAATGTTTCTATGGAGGACAGAGATGCTAAATTAACTAATTACCTTAATGATGATGATTATGACTACTCCCATGACAATAAGAAAGAGCATTGTCATAATTAGTTTGTCAGTTGCAACCTAGCAATAAAAAAATTATGTTCATTTAAGAAATATACGAAAATTATTATGCATTCGAAAAAGAAGCATGTGCTAAAATCTTAGAGATTGACCTGCCTACCGATTTCCTTCACCAATTTTGAAGCTCTCTTCATTGAAAAATGGATGGAATCCAACTCGTTGACTATCATACTCATTTGTTCCGTATGGAGATTCAAAAAGAATGTTATCGTTACATTATAAGTTATTTAAAATTAATTGATAATTAATTCACATGTTGAACTTGCAATTATACGATGGTATTGGAGAACTCTGTAAATTACATACTTGAGCTTTAAGAGAAGCAGTAGTTTCTGTTCCAACATTAATGGTTTCTTGAACCACCTAATAAAAGTATCGATAGCATCATATCAATTTAAAGCGATTTATAAAATAGATGTTACACTATTAGATAAAAAAATTCGAGTTAGTGTTTAGTGTGACCGATTGATATATATATATACTAACCTTTCTGCCTCTTTCAATTGCTTGATCTGTCTCATCCATCATTTTATTTCCATGGTCCATTACTTGTTCATTTGTCATGGCTGCAAGAAATTTAAGAGTCTTGATATGTTAACAATCAACTAAATGTCAATACAAACAACTAGTTAGTGATTAGTGATACACCAATTGATAATTAATTTACGGTTCATCTAACTGAGCTTTGAAACCAAACAAAACTACTTAGCGAGGGAGTTTCTTCAATTAGTAATTACTTGCACTAGTGGTGCTAAAAGTTGTATAGCCATTACACTATCTATGAAGATGAATCTCCAAAATGAATACCAAATTATCACTCTTCTTTTCAATAAGATAAGACAAGGAAACATGAAAAAGGGGAAAAAATGCAACAAGTAGAGGTGGCAAATGGATTGGATTGGTGGATTGGTGAATTGGATTGGTGGATCCATGGATTAAATGGATTGGATCTAATGGATTGGTGGATTCATGGATTGGATCAAGTGGATTGGTGGATTATCCATGAATCCAAATGACATCCTCAACCAAGGACCAATATGTAAAATGTAAAAAGTTTAGGTACTAAAATGTCATAATGAAAAATTTTAGGTACCAAAACGTAATTTTCCAATGATATTTTTCGTATAAAAACTTAAATTTTAGGTACCAAAATGTAAAAAATAAAAATTGTAGGTACTAAACCGTAATTTGCCAATGATCCATGGATCCAATCCATGAATCCACTAATCCAATTGGATTTGGATAAAATGGATTAGATTTAAATGGATTGGATTAGGTGGATATTTTTAATGGATTGATGGATTAGATTGGTGGATTGGATTAAAATTGCCACCTCTAGCAACAAGTAACAATCTTTTCCATTATTGAGTAAATTAAAGTATCAAAATAGAAAGACAATATCTTACTTGAAGCAAGTAGTACATTGTCTTCATGAAATCCTTCATTAGGTCCATCAAACAGATCAATTTTCTTCTTCTCAAGTTTGGTATTATGTCTGTATACAAAAACTAATTATTAAGAAAATGTGTTTAGGATTTATCAAATGAAAATAAAAATTGATTTTTAATTAAACCCATTGTCCAACTTAGTGTCATAACTAAATTATGTTGATTGACTTAGCAATCAAATTAATAGTGATCAGGGAAATTGGGAAGTAAACAGATCATATCAATTTTCTTTTTTGTTCAGTATAAATATATGTAACAAAATACGAACTTACTGCTTCTTCAGAGCAACATAAGAATTTAACTCCTTAATCTGCATAAAAATAAATTAAATGTACTAATGAAATTTAAATGGTTAAGAAATCAACGTTTTGTAATTTACACCAACTCAAGTGAGACTAATCAGAAGGTAAAAGCATTTACCATTGCCTGTTTTTTCTCACTTAGCATTCTATTTGTCACAGCATCAATTCTGCTTTCCAAACTCTTCACTTCTCTGTCAAACTCCTTGATGAGGCTAAAGGTGATGATTTCATAATTAATTATTCAGATTTATGTAATAAAATAGTTAAAGGAGTTTTAAGAGGTAAAGGTGAAATAATTACCAACATATATTTAAAATACCTTTTACATTCTCTCATCTTATCTGTAAGCTCCTCCAACTGCCTGCTTTTCCTATTGGCATCTTTAACCTTCTCCAACTTTTGGAATCCATTTCTGAAAAAAAAAAATATTCATCATATGAGCATAGAAAAGCATTTATTTTCTAACGAAATATTGGTAAACATTTCAATGCGAAAAAAAAACCCTAATCTTGTTAGACAGTTGACAAACACTTTCATGATTGTAATGTGGAAGCAATGTGAATCAAAATGAAGGACACTCGAAAAACAATATCGAAAGAAAAGTCAACATACGATAGAGTTCGAAAAATATCTGTAATTTGCTCATCAATCTCAGCTGCTTCTTCACTAATAAGCGATAACTGATCCATTTGCAAAGATCTATCGAACCTGCTTCCTGTACTGACAAAGATATATCATAAAAAAAAATGAAAGTAATGAATCCATTCTCACAAAAGAATGTCGAACATCCCTAATTTACCTCAAACAAATGGGAGAGGAAACGTTATGGATTCAATCCCGACAATTAACAATTTTAAGGATCACAATCAGGGTAAAAAAGAATAAAAGTGGACTTTTGGATATGGAACTAGTTTGACAAACACAATCAATCAATACAATTTGTTGGAATAAACATTGAGATTAATTATAAGAAATTAGGAGGAACCAATAATATTGTATAATTTGTGCATTGCCAATTGATAAGGATACATGAAATAGGGTTTATGGTATCTTTTCTCAATCTGGGTAAATAGTTCAAAGAAAATTGTAGAACAATGAAAAAATTGTAAATAAAAATATGAATATTGAGGCAATTTTCTTATTTGACTATTGAGATTGTAATTTGATATATTTAGGCGAATGATTATCTAAAATGGAGTTCGTATCAACTAGCATAAACAAAAACATTTGTGTTTAATTAATGAACTTGCCCAACAAACATCATTAACTCCATTTTAAAGTTTAGGAATTTGCTAAGGTGACATGCATGTCCCCGTAACTTGCACTTTTAGGTCGACTTTATATAGGATTAGTTCTACTTAATTTGTCGTTTCAGTCTTGTGGTAGAAGCCAGCTTACTTCGTAGAAACTTCCAGCTTTTTGTTTGAAGCCTTCCAGATATCAAATATTTCATCCAATGCCTTGACTTTGTATACAAAAATACCTACTTCCATGTGGTAGAGGCTCCTGGACTCGAATCTCATCCATGCTTCTCGAATTGAGCTCCAAAGTAGGCTTCACAAACACTTTTCCAGACTTGGCCATTTTCATGCAGTTTCCCAGTTTTTGCATGGCCTTTCGATCAGGTTCAAAAATAGTCTTCTGGACTTCCTATCGAGCTCCCAAGTACTTCAATGTGTAGAGGGACACTCCAGCTTCAAAACAAGCCATTAATCTCCAATTTTCATAGAGCCAATTGTAAGATATGAATCTCCAAAGTAGTCACCATGAAACTGTTTTTACACTGAAACAAAATATTAGGTCGACCTAATCCTAATTGAGGTCGACCGAAAAGTGCAAGTTACGATGACAAAGAACACATCATAGGCACACCCGTAGAAAGACAACATCAATTAACACGACTTACTTACGTTTAATGCCATGGATCCCCTCTTGTTGCCATATATGTAAAGAACACATTAATAGAGTCGTACTTATCTTTTTGAGCATGCATACGATACAGGCCCACTAAAACTGAATACACCCATTCATTCAAGTCCAAAGCCCAATTGATGCCTCCTCAAAGGCCCATAACAAGAGCTCCATAAAAACTGGCTCTTCTTTTCCCGCCATTTACATATTTTCTCACCTCCAAGTCCATCCTCACATTCGTGGGTTCGGCATTTCGCCACCACAGCAGCTGAAGTTTGAAAAGAGAATCTCTAACGGAATCGCTCAATGTGGATCCACTTCCTTACTACAACACAGAATTGTACTTACTACCTGGCCAGCGGCGGATCTAGTGGTCGACCCGGGCCACGGCCCGGTCCTTCCCGGATCCAAAGCTCGTATAGTACTTGTAAATTTTCGATTTGGATATATATTTCAATGTTTATAGGATTACAGTCAATACAGTTAAAAAGCGCGATTCTACCTAGAAGTGAGAATGGATAAAATCGTAAAACGTAGAGTCAAAACGTAAAAGCTTAAGTTTTTTACGCACCCTCTAAAATAGCTAAAATATGTTAAGTACAACATATAGTATGTAAAATGTGAGTGTGTAGATTTTAGACAAGTGAATAACTCCATGAAATTCATAATTAAAATGTAATATCTAACACATAAACTAATTTGTGTTGACTCAAAAGTAGAGAAAACTCATAACATCTTAATAATAAGCTCATAAACGTAGATCGTAACCCGTAAACGAGCTTGAGAATCCAAATTCTCATAAGCTGGTTTGAGTTTACATAATTACATACATTCAATTACCCATAAACTTTTATCGTAACCCAGATAAGAGCCACAGGTGAAAATTAAGGGAGAAGACTGATAGAAGGTCAGCGGCTGTTGAGAATACCATTAGGTGTCTTCTCAACATAATGTGAAGCCCCTGTCTCGACAATAGTTGTAGAACGAGTGATGAATCATATTTTCCTTTTTTTTTTTTTGCTGATATGTCTCCAAAATTACATTATTTTGGGCCATTAGCACATTTTTATCAGATGATAAAAATCGTATAAAAACGCTTCAGAATTACGATTTTACCGATTTTAAGCGATTTTACCGATTTTATCCATGTTTTTACCAGTTTTTGTGACTAAGCGACTTTAGGTAGAAACTGAAACGTTTTGGTGGCCTGGATACGTAAAAACGCAAGTTTTTACGTTTTAATGCGCGATTTTGACTGCACTTGTTACAGCCCAACCCTCTTCACTGCTTTTTAAATGCGGCCTAGTGCTCTAAATTATTCTGGATCCCGTTGTACCTGGCCTAAAAATTTCAAACTTTTAAAGGGAAATCTTAAAAGCCATGAACGGAAAAGCCTACTAAGTACAGACTCACTCACATCTCAATTCTCGATGTATGGAGAAAGGGAAAAGGCAGAAAACAGAGGGTTAGTTCAATTTTAGGTGGTTGGGACTTGGGACTTGGGACTTGAGTGTGACAAATATTAATTCAGTCATTAATTCCCTGGTTTTCCTAGATTTGGAGGAGGGTACTCTTTGACTCATGGAACGAAGAAAATTGCTAATAAATTAAATTGTAATCAGGGAAATGTCAGGCATTGCATTGTATTGATGATGCTATTGCTAGCCACTCTCTTGTTGTCATGCCGATTTATACCGTTGTGTCGGGTTAGCAAGTAAAATGGTTCGATTGGTGGTACAGCTGGTTTGTATCGATTAATGTCGATTTAACAAAATACGTGGAAGTATGAAAATCATCAATATCAAATGAGTTTAATCATATATAATATATTTCAAGAAAATTTACTTACAATCCATATTCATAATTAAATAAAATACGACATTCCAAATAAAATTACAAGTACTCAAATATCATACAACATTTCACGTCAATACCTTAACTTTTAACTTTTAAATTCATAAAATAAATAAAACTTATTTTCTACTAATTACATTCACTGAAATGACATCATTTTGGTTAAAATTTGTAAATCGATAATGTCGTTCATATCAGTGGTGTTCATATCGATTTCATGACCGACCACTGGTTAAATCAGATTCAATCGGCCGGCATGTCACCGACATGACAACCATATATATAAGAAAATGTCCAACAAAAATATATGCATGCAAAGTGTGATCCCTGCTATCACTTCAACAAATTTAGTCATTATCGTAACTTTCTATTTACATACCATTTATATCAAAGTCATTTATATGTAATTGTGGATCCTACTTATTTTTAATACAACTTAAAGATTCATATTATCTCCATCATTTTACTGTTGTGGTACTTTCCATCTAACAAGTATCAATAAAATGTTAGTCGAAAGCAAGAGAAACAAATGAGAATAATTTTGAATTTGAGATAGAATTGGAATTATTTTGACATATTTGCAATTACTAAATTTGAAATTATCTTGAAGTAGTTTGCAAAGTAAATGATACTAGAAATTAGGGCTGGTTAATTGGTTCAGGCTATTTGGTTTTACTCAAAACCGGATCGTATAACCTGGACCAGGATCGGACCAGAACTGGATAGCAAATAATCCAATTCAATATTCAGACTTAGATTTGAGGTAAAAAACCATTTGAGACCGGATCAAAAACCGGATAAGGGAGCCCAACACCCAAAACTTAACCAACTCCTCACTCTATGAGTCCTCAGGCAACTCAAATCCCCACAAGTTCAATCTAAAATCAAAACCGAATTGGAACGGACCGGATCAAGACCGGACTGTACCCAATCCAATCTTTGATCCTTATATTCCCGAAAAGACTGGACTGGGACTGGATCGTCAGGGCAATTTAACCAGACCAGACCGTATAGCCACCCCTACTAAAAATGACTAATGCAAAAAATAAATACCGGAGATAACCAGTTTTGCAGAAAATAAATACTACTAGTGGAACTAGAGATGACCGGTTATGTAGAAAGTAAATAAAAGTTGAAAATGATTTGAAAAAGAAATAGTAAAATTGATAGCTCGATAAATTTCTTACACAAGAATTCTTGAGAGAAGATGATGGGAGGAAACTTTGCAAGAGAGCAATTCCTACTCAAAATAACTCTACTTCTAAAAGTGAAAGGAGCCTCCTTATATAGAGGAATTGAGTACCCTTTTGGTAAATAAAATGAAAGACATAATGATGACAATGTGAACACCTGTATGGTTATGTCACATGCCATAACAAAAATTACAATTTTAAACTAAAGATAAAATACATAATTTGTTGTCTTCTTTCCATAACCAAAGTGAGTGGGTTGAAAGTGGAGTCACTTCTTCTTTGTCTTCATGCTAGTGAAAGAAGAAGTGGGGTTATTTCTTCTTTGTCTTCAACTTAGTGCTCTTTGTTAGCAAGCCAATCACTTCTTCATCTGTATCATGGTATTGGAATGTGGAATCTACATCAGGTAATCTTGGACCATAATATTTTTGGCAGAAGATTTGATATCCCTCTTATATCTCAGTTGGATAGATATTTTCAGTTGGCCCAAAAAGATCCCACTAGTGCATAAACCAGTTGGGGAAAATTGTTTCGGGTCTAATTACATATATTTTACCCTTTATTTATTGATAGTTTGACTTTTCAAATCATCGTCTCTCAACCTATTTTACGCTAGGTTGCGCTATTTTTGTTACACCTCAGGTGCTAGCACGTGTGGAAAGGTCAAGTACAAGTTTTGGGACAATTGGAGTCGAAAAGCGTCAAAAAGTGAAGAAAAGTCAGAAGTCATGGTTTGGACGTGAATGTCACGGTCTTGAGGTCGTGAAAATTACAAGATGGGCGTGAAGATTGCTGAGGAACACAAGATTTTGCACGTCTCACAGGCCTAAAAGTTATCACGGTCACCAGACCGTGACAATTGCTAGCAGACCTGTAAGTTTGACGAAAACGACATCACCGTCCTGCGTTTTTGGACGATGTCATGGTCGGAGGTCCGATGTCACGACTGTGACTTCTGCCAGTGATTGGGACTTTTGGGCTGTGTAAATAGAAGGCAGTTGGGAGTGAGAGAGAGGTGAATGCTTGGCTTGGTTTTAGATTTTTTGGGTTCCCTTCTAGGGTTCCAGCTGAAAACCCTTAAAGGAGAGGGCCTAGTGAGAGATTATCATCTTCATCTTCTGATTTTAGAGAGAGAAACTGATGAACCAAGAGAGAGAAGAGGTATAGGGTTTGCTCCAAACTAGGGGATTGGAGATTTTTATCTTCCTAGGTGATTCCAACAACAAGGAAAGAAGTCAAACACCAGACCATGGTTCTTTCTCTTCTCATTGTTGTAATCCCTAGTTTAGTTATGTAGTAGTACTCTTTTTCACTTGCGTATTATGAATTCTAGACTAGAAACATAGAATGTTGTTGAATATGAACTCTATGTGTGTTGATTCTGTGTTTTAATATAATGCTTGAGGTATTTTCATGATTTGTGAGTGTTGGGTTCCATGTCTCGTTTGGGTCGAATTGATCTAGAAGGAGGAAAATTCCTCCTTTCCCACTTCTTGGAAAATTGGGTAACCCTCTTCTATGGCAATTGAGTACACACTTCAAGCATTGATTTAGCGTCACGATTTGATTGTGTTTTATCGCTTTATCGCCATTCTAGACTAACCTCTGAGGAATTAGTTAGCAATCCTTAGCCAATTGATTGAGAGAGCTAGGTTTCCTAGTTTAATTGCTCACTACAGGAAAAATGGCCTTTGCCAACACTATGTTTGCAACACTTATCAAAAGTGTTGCTTATAATTAACAGTGGCAACACTTCTTTTAAGTGTTACTTAAAATGTACTTTACACAACATAAATCATTCATCACTTAAATTATGTCGCATTTGCTATATTATACGCAACACTTATAACCCAAATAACTTTATGTTGCTTATTCATCCATTTTAAGCTACATTTAAACTAATAATGTTGGGAAAAGTTAAATACATGACAATTAAATGTAATCTACCAATTAATTAATGCAAAACAATCTAATTGCATATACACGTTGCATACTTTGAAGTTTTAATTTCTTGATGTGCATTTACAAAAAAAAGTTTAATGTAAGCTATAATGAAGACCCTACGTATATGGGCTTCTCCATCAAACTTATTCTCAATTTTAATTTACCAATAATAAAGGAAGAAAACTCTTCCTGTCCAACTCCAAAAACGAAACGGTGGAACTCATGGGAATAGATATGGCGCGTGAATAAGGCCGAATCCCAATCGCGCGCGAACTCTATCTCTGTCCATCACCTAATTCGGCCTCCATTGCCCCCAGAATCAACTGCTTAATTCCACAGAGCAATTTCTTCCTCATCGAATCAGTCTCTCTCCTGGGCTTCTCTTCCAGTTTCGGCTTGAAGAATCTCTCGCACAAAATCCATCTCAAAGGAAGGTTCCCAATTGGATCGTTTAGTCCCGCAAACGATTTGGTCGTGAATCTGGTAAGTTATTCGCCTCTCATCAAATCAGCTTCTCAAACTGCCTAGCAATTACATGTAAAGAACAACAAAATGCTTATTGAACTTCTGCTTCATTGATGTGCACCTACTGTGGTGTCTTGCGGCACTATGTTATGCTTGTTATCTTTTGTAATTATTGTTGACTTAAGGTATTTTCTTCTTGCCTTTTGGTTTTCGCCCAACCCTTGAACCCATTTGAGGATGGATTGGATTTGGGGACGTAGCAGCTTGCAACAAGGGTGTGTTCTGTTCTACAGAGTTCTCAACTTCTATGCATTACTAATTAAATGACAAGGAAATTGTACGAGCTTAGGAATTTTTTATATACAAGTCTGAAATGTATTAGTAAGACAAAACAGCCTACAAACTTTCCCATTAGATCATGAATTGCAAGGGTTTGGTAGTTTAAAGATTTTGATTGTGTATTCGTGTTCTCTGGGTTCTATTATACAGATACTATGTGGGATCATTTTTGCAATTCTCTTCTAATGGTCGAACCTTTGTTGGAGGTCTGAACTGAAAAAATTGTAGCACCTGCTAATAGTAGAAGAAAGCATAGTTTCCTTGCAGTTGATAGACTTGCCTAGAATAAACTCCAGTTTGTGCTGTTGAATTTTTTTCTGAGAATAATTTTTCTACTAAGCTTCCATAATAAGCTAATATAAGCTCCATTCGTTTTGGTATTCTTGTGATTCAATTTCTGTGTGTTCTCATAGTTAATGGTGGAATGTTAGCTTTAACTTCAGGCTGAGAACCATGATTATGAAATGAAATTACAATTGAACTTGAGATGGTCTTACAAGTATTCTCACTTATAGTTTTCATTTACTTATGTGTGTCGGTGGGTTTGTGGCTCTGATCTATAAGATAATGTATTTTGAATTTACGGCTTGTTGATATATCTTTGATGTTTATAGCCTCAACAGATATGGTGCAGCAAAGTATACTTGGTAATTTCATTCATAGTTCATGCACTTTTAAAACGTGGATTCAGTTGTGTTGTTAGAATATATGTCATTGCTACTTTGAAGGTCTCCCCTGTCTCAATTATTTTTGTATCTACTGGTGATGGAGTTCTATCTTATATTACTATGCATTTCTGTGAATAGTGTTTAGCATGAGGGCAGTGTTTATGTTTCCTGGTTTCTTTTATTAGTGAATTGGGGTTTGTTTTGGCAGACTTTGACTAGAGCTAAAAAAATTTCAGGTTGATTAAAATGATAGACAAGAGCTGGGTTTCGAAACCACGAGAAAGTATAGCATATCGCAATGGAGTAGAGAACTTTTTGGTGAGTTGTGTGCTTTATTTAAGTAGTCATGTTTTGGTCAAGTTGTTTATAAGATATAGAGTGCAAGTGATTTATTTTTCTTTTGTCTTTCTCAGGTCTGAGGTGTTCCCATTTTAAGCTACAGAGCTCTGAAGTGGTTTCTATTCTCCTTTGGTGAGTTGCTAATCACATGGGTTCTTGGTATTATCCAAAGAATTTCTTCCTTCTTTGTTTTTTTCTACTCTTACTATGAGTTGGTTTCATCTTCTTTCTTTGATTTTGTCAGTACTAAGGGGGGTTTCCACTTTTTGAATAATTGTGTTCAGGTTAGCAGCTTAGTGTCTCTTCTTTAATTGGGAAAGAAAGGCTGGTGGTTTGAATTGTGGTTTGAGTAAAAATCATGAGCCTTTTTAGGAACTTTATCATTGCCAACTCTTTTGACTACAAATTGTCATGTGTGCATTGAATAGGTTTAGATTCCAGAATTTGATCAAGTGGATGTCAGTAATCTGGTCTTAATACTTACTCTCCTTTGGATAATGAAGTTAATTAGTCTTCCCTTCAGCAAGTTAATCATGATCAACTAATTGATTATGCTGTCACAACTTCCAGAAGCCCTAATGCATTTACTACTGTGAAAATTGATTGCTCACTTCTTTCCATGTGATGATATGATCATCGATCCCTCTATTGTTGATGATTGGAGAAGTTCCTTCCAGAGATCAAGAGTCAATCATGAGCTTCCCCTCCCTGCTGGAACATTCTTTCTCAACACTTTTAGTTTCTTTTCGATAAAGCATGACTGCCTGCAGACTGTAGACTTACCCCTTCTTGTCTGTACCATTTCGTTGCAGCACAGAATAATTTACAGTCTATTTTTACTTATATATTTCATATGCTTCATTGTTTGAATTTTGAGTTTCTCTTGTTGTGTGCAGGTTGATGAGTTAGTTGACGACTTTATTCTTGGGAAGAAGAAGCAGCAACCTTGTGTTTCTCTTGTAGTGTGCAGGTTGATGAGTTAGTTGACGACTTCATTCTTGGGAAGAAGAAGCAGCAACCTTGTGTTTAGGAATAGGGATCTATCTTGGCTACTGTTGTCTACTGTGTGGAGCTGATAAATTTGTCATGGGTTCAGTGGCCACTATTGACAAGTTATTTTTAGCAGATTTAAGTTGTTTTAGGGGTACCAATTTAAACTTCCAGAAACAATTTTATGAGTTCAAGTAACAGATTTCATGACCAATTTATCAGTTAAGTTACAAGCTCCTTCCAGTCCCTTGGAAAGTGTGTGACTTATGGTATTGGTGAATGATTGAATTCCATGTCTTCATATCATTTAGTTAGGTTATCAGTCATTGTTTTGCAGGGGGTCTGAACTGCAAAAAGTTGCAGCAGCTTTTAGAAACCATCTCTTTTGCTGTGTTTTTAGTCTAATGTTTCTTTTCTATATTAATTCCTTATTATGCTACCGCTACCCGTGAAAACCCTCAGATTGTTCCTTTGCCGCATAATTCCAAAACTAAACCACACAGAAAAGTTGTATACTTGTATTAATGGGGGCAATCCTTAACAGGTCCTTAAGAAGCGAGCTGTCAAAGAAAATCACTTATATGCATAAGAACCACATTGTTTATTAATAGAAACTAGAAAAAGGTACACCAAATGGAGTTTTAATGAATTGAACTGCGTTGAGCAAACTTTTGGAACTTCGAGCTAAAGATAACATATTCAATTAGAAACTGAAATCTTCTAAATGAAAAAATTGACGAGGCCTATTCCGCTGTATCTGAGTTGGGCATTTCATTCTCATTGCTCCTGTTAGCCTCTGTAGGATTGTTCACCAGCAAGAAGTCAAACATGTCCTGGGGGATGACAAGAGATGGGTTGGATTCCTTCAACGAGGCCATAGCATTGCGCAATCCATTTGACAGATGAGATGATTGTTGATCCAGCCTTTTTTGCACATCTTCAGGCAACATAGATGGATTTGAGGTCGTCCCTTTTTCTTGATATATCGCATCAGCACCTTCGTGTTTCCTCTTTAACATGCTTGGAGTCACGCCTCGTCCATGGAATCGTAAATTTGGCCTCCACACTATTTCTTCTTGTTCTTCTTCTCCTTCTCCCACAAAGTGCTTCTGTAACTCCTCAAATTGAACCTAAAAAGTAACACAGTATGAGATGATGTAATTTTTTAAAACATGTTATATGAGATCAATTCTTACTCTTGTATTTTCGTCCATTTCGGGACCTTCATTCACTTTACGAGTTTTGAGAAACATTTCAATTTCGGTTGGCTCTTCATTATTTCCCTTCTCCTTCTTCTACATGAATTGAACAAACAGATACACAAGAAATATAAGATAAAAGAACTGAAACCATGGATAGATAGTCTTTAGAATAGTCTACCAGCTGATGGCATTGTCGTGCATAGCTCTTCCTTCCTGATCTCGAGACAAATGTTAACTCAATCCAAAACTCTATGATTGTGTTTTGGATCATTTCGGTGTACGAGGGTTCGCAAAACAATATCAAAATGTTTCATATTTTTGTAAAGCACACAAATTCATATATGGACAACAATGATTTATCTACAAATGTCAGTTAACATATTCTCAAATTCTCACATATGCGGATGAAAGGAAATACAAATTGGACACTTTGGCAAAAAAAAAAAAATTACGAAAGCAATAATAGTACAAGAAACAAATAATATTTTATTATCCTTACACTCCAAAATTATCTTTGAAATCCTTGTGAATTTTTTGTAAACATCTCATCAACTAATGAGTGATCTCGGCTTACGGATTGTCACAAATTTGATCGTAATTTGGTAGTTTATTAATTAGAGAAGTCTAATCTCAAGAATTTATAATAATAATAATAATAATAATAATAATAATAATGTACAACCGTAGCTAGAGGAAATTTATGTACTTTACGGAAAAGGAATAATTATAGATTAGGATCCTTGTTTAATTAATGACTTAAACTTTCCCCAAGTATACGAGCAAAACAATAACTCTCGAATGAGAAATCTTCAGAAATCCGCTAACGATAAAAAAATCCGACTCTTCCTATTCTGAATAAATCTCTATTCCATAGCAAATCCCCAGTCCCCATTATCCCAATCGTTCCCGCTGAAGTAAACAAGCTCAGCAGCAAATCTCTTCTTCTCGTCCATCGACCGCCGACACCTATTCAGTTCCCGGACATTACAGTTGCTGCAAGTCAGCCTCGCACAAGTCTGCCGCTTCTGGTGAACCCAGGTTAGATAGAGGGATCAACACCTTCTTTGCTCCTTTTAGAGTTTGGATCCATGTTAACTTAATTTTTGCTCTTGTTTTTGCTTCCTCTTTGATACTTCGTAAAGGCATCCTCCCCTGTTGTTTGACTTGCTTTCTTTGTTGGGTTGTAGTTCTTTCTTCTGTTAATCTAAATAATTAAATAGTGTCACACCTACAAATTCAATTGAAGCTTCTGGTCTTGCTTGTAAGATTATATAGTATTTACTAGGCTACCTGTGAAAGGGCCATCCAACTACCTACGTATGTGGCTAATTAATTAGCTTGGACGGAAGGTGGGAAATACTAAATAGAAATAGATTAACAAGAAAGAGCTACAGCAGCAAACATTTTACCTTTTTCCCTTTAACTACAATGAATATTTCTTTTGATAGGGGTCATGAGCTCTAATTGTATAGTGTATTCGAAAAGATCGAGATCCATGGGAGAAGAACAAGACAAATCAATTCCTTCTGATAGTGATGAGACAAGATCCCCATCAGAAAATGAAATATATGATTCGGATGAGACCCAAAATTGGACGCAAGAAATGGGCGCAGGCATACATTTGTACCAGAATCTGAATATGAGATCGAGGCTCCAATAGGTATATTTATTTAAATGGTCAATAAATAATAAGTTTAGTGATTGAATGAAGCAGTGTGGATCAATGGTCGTTTAAATAATAATGTTCATATGTATGTTCTATTACAGTGAAGAAAAGGAGAGGCAAGACAACATGCAACGCCGTTGAACTTACGACAATAAAGGGGAATAAAATTGAGGTGGACATCTCATGTGACTGTAAACCCATTGGTAGGAACGCGAGGAAATTTGTAAATTACTGTGGACTCGTAGTAAGAAGCAATATGAAGTTGAGCATCAAGACATTGAGTAAGATAGACGAAGCTGAAATTGATAAATTGTTTGAATTGGTGGAGGTAAATTTATCTTTTATCTTTTACCATTTTCATTTCCATTTTTGTGTTTACAAACTCTCCACAATGCATGCTTTTTGTTTTTGTTTTTTTGGTATGTAGAGAAAATTCACTAGTAGTGACAAACAAGCTCTAAGAGATCTTATGTGGATCAAAATGAGCTCAGCACATTCAACTTGGCAATATCGTGAGCGTGAAAAGTTCCCTGCACTTGCCGAAAACCAAAGGAGTGGCTATGTTCCTTAAGGTGTTGATGTTGATGACTGGGCAAAAATTGTTCAATATTGGGCTTCTACTGACTTCAAAGTAAGTGTGTACATTTTTACTTTCAATGATGTCAAAATTAAAATTATTTATTGATCTTTGATTATTATTAACATATGTGGTAGGAAACGAGTAAGAGGAATAAACAAAATAGAGGAAAGGTGCAAGGAAAAAATACATGTGGGTCAAGAACACATGAAGAAGTGGAAGAAAATACGGTAATGAATTTTCTACCTATACTTAATTTCTTGGTAATTAATAATCTAATATTAGGATAATTATAATTTCTATTCAATTTTATTTTTATACATAGTGTTCTTAAAATATAAATTTAATTACTTGACTTCAAATTTTAAAGAGATCCATTGACTGGAAAGAAGAAGTCTCATGACGAGGTTTACTATGCTCAACATACCAAGAAGGGCAAAGAAGGAGAGACATTGTGGTCTGACCCTAGAGCAAAAGCAATATACGTACGGTTACCTATTATATAATTTTGTTTTCATCATTGTATCAAATTATACAAGTTCAAATTCTTGTGTATATAATTATTATGCAGTGATCGAAAATGAAGAGAGTACTAAAAATATTTTATTTTGCAGGAAAAAATAAAAGAGCTGGTTCAAACAGGACCTAAATTGTCCTATAAAGCGACAATTCTTCTTGCCTCAGGATAGCCACATTCTCAAAGTAGAAAGAGGGCCATAAGAGGTGGGGTCGATAAGGCTACATTGAGGGCTGAGATAGAAGCAAAGGTACATCAACATTTTGAAGCCAAGTTAGAAGAAGAAAAGAAGAAATTTGAGGAGAAAATAGCACACCTACAAGCAAAACATGATGAAGAGAAGAGAGAAATGTGTTCTTGACCTATAAACTTCAACCAATTACTTTTTTTTTTATCATATTTAGTTTAAATCATTGTTGAGATTGTGGTTAAAGAAATTTGTTCTCTATTTTTGGTTAAAGATTGTCACTAATATTAGATTTGCGCCACATTATTCCAGTACAAAAAATTCATTCATTACAAGCCATCTCCTCACCATTGGGATTTTTAGTGTCGTTTTAGTCACCAAAAGAGGTATACGTGACCAAATATATGTAGTAAACAATATACATTTATGTTGAGTCAAATTGTCACAATTGTTAAATTTAATGAAGACACTATTTGTCACAAAACAAGTTTTCGGTCACGAATCATATCATCATTATTGTGTTTTTTTTATCTACAAACGTACTATTGTCTCATATATTTTCATTTGAGACGAAAATAGTTGTCACCAAAGGATACATTTGTGACAACATTGTCGTCACCAACAATACAAATTGCGAGAACTAAAATCCTCACCGTTGTTGATATTTTGTGATGACAAAGTTGTCACAAAAATACATACGGTCAAGTAGCAAATCGTCACTAATGTATACTATTTGTAACATTCATAATCGTCACAAATGATATCATACGTGACACAAATATTTGGCACACCAGTGTTTTTTCATGACAACTATTATACTCACGAGAGATATCATGTAACTGATTAAAAAAGATTGTCACCAATGTTGTTACAGCTGGAACAAAATTGTTGTCACAAAAACCTAATTTTGTAACATTTGTATCGTCACTAAAACCACCTTGTGTGACAACTTAAACTGGTGACATTAGATATACATTGGTGACCACACAAAATAGTCACAAGCGTATACTATTCCTTACAAGCATTATTTTGTCACGATTTAGAACATCTTATGTGACGACAAAACTTGTCATGAATAAAACAATATATGTTAGTTATACTTTTCAGAAAGTGTTGTGAAAGTTTTCGAAGGTGTTGCCTAAAATAGTGTTGCATATGAGTAATACATATGCAACACTTCTTATTTTGTTGCAAAAAGTGAAAAAAAGTGTTACATATTACTTTAGGTAACACCACCTTTAGGTGACACTACTAAAAGTGTTGCATATTAGGCAACACTTTCGACACTTTTTACAACACTTTTCACGTGTTGGCAAAGGCCACTTTTCCCGTAGTGGCTTTTCCTTAATTGACTGGCTAAGAGAGTGGAATTCATCACTAGTTGCACCATTCTCACGGTATAAGAAAACACAGTTTTTCGCATTAGGGTCCCAGTTTTGCAACTTGATACAAGGTTAGGGGAGCAATACCCGTGTAATGTTTTGTCATATAGAATCCACAACAATTTGAATTCTTGCTTGCTTTAAATTGTAGCTCTTAGTTTTCATTAAAAACCGATTGCTATATAACGTTTTAAACGGTTGAAATAGGAGTACATGTACCGGCCCGGGTTGACATTTAAAAGGCTTGTCCTATACTACACCGTACTAGAGTTTATACTTTGGGCTCTAGTCGGGATTTCATTCGTGTAGTTAGCAATGAGTCAAAAATATTGAGAGTTTTGTAATCCCAAAAAAAAAGCTCCAGGAGTGTCGGTACATATGGTTTTGCTTGAAGAAGGCATTGATCCAAGCATTATGGTAATTCTAGTAATTGAAGGATTGAAAAATTTGTGGGTGTTTAAGGGCAATAGTAGAAGGGAATTTTTGGTTAGTGTTTGGGCTAGTATGCCATTGGCGAGGGGGAATAATTTGGTGGATTTTGAGTGAGTATTGAGTGTTTTGTCTCAAGGGTCAATTTTGTGGGAAAAGGTGACTGATCCAGTTTTCGTGAGGATAAGTTCATAATATTTGTGGATTTTGTTGAGGAATCTTGGTTTGAAGAACGACTCATAGAGGAAGTGTTTGCTAATAACATTTGGAAATCGATGGTAGAAACCATCTTTGACAACGAAAAATGGGTTGAAAAGTGTTTTTCTTAAAATATGTTTGGAATCGATTTTGAGGGACTTGCACAACTATCACTTCTTGGGTGTTGGGAAAAATAGTTTTGAGAGGGCTATCAAAGATGCCACCTCTGTTGAGGTAGGTGCGACATCAAGGTGATGTTGCTGATAGATTTGTTTGGTTTATTTTGAAGAAATGGGTGTGTGTAGGATGCCAATTGGCATTTGAGTATTTGAAAGAAATAGTTTAGAAGGAGAAATTGTTGAGGAAGTTGAAGCTTTAGTAGGAAGCTTTTGTTTAGACCCGGAAACGGGAATTGAAGATAATTTTGAGCTTTGGGAGGAAGCAAGCTTATCAAGATTGATTAAAGTTTTGAAATAACTTGATTGTAAACCTTAATCATCAGAGCTCTCTTCATACCCACTTGAATGATAAGGGCTCACTTTTTCATCGTCAATTATTGCTCTCTAGGATTTGATTTTGATTTTCTCTTTAATCGCATTATGACTGCGGATTGCAAGCATGAGAGTTTTCCGCACAACGTCCTCCCTGCAAAAATTCCCGGGTAAGGAAGTCTTGAAGAGAGTTTGAAGAACCATTTAGAACCTAATCAATTTTAGAGCCTTATTTAAGGGGTTTTTTTCCCCAGAATACACACGTTCTTAAAAAAAATTCTCAAAATACACACGCTATAAAAAATTTCCCAATGTACACATGTTTGGGCATTCACCGCGGCGACTGAATCGGTGAATGCATCACTGCGGCCGACCAAAGTGGTGAATGCATGACATGCGTTGAAACTTCAAATGAACGCAACTTTGCGTTTGGTTATCCGATCGTAGAAATTTTTTTATTCCGTATAATATTTTGAGATCTTACAAGCTGCAAACGAGCCGTAGGCACTTTGGTCCTGCCTTCGTCCTGAAAAAAAAACGTCGTTTGCTACCCCGAATGAGCAATTTTTCATTTTCGTCAATCTTTGACCGCCCATAACTTTGTGCTCCGCACTCCGAAAGTCATGATTTTTTTTATTTCATATAAATTTTTTTATTGCACATAAACAGACGCAAGTATCTCTTTGCTGAAAGTTGAAGCATCAAAAAATTGATTGCGAAAACACTATGTATTGATATGATATAAGTTAAAGGTTGATGGAATTCCAATTTTCTCCTCGAACCCTTAAAAGTTTGCATGTAAGAAAAGCAATCTTAGCATATAAATTGAGGAAGGACAACTAAAAATAAGACAAGTAATCAATTTATATAATTCAAAGAGGAGCAACTTCATACCAGTAAACTATATGAATGCCAATAAGCTAGATCAATTCCACGTGATTACTAGTAATGAGTGTAATCAATTTATGCATTGTCTCAGATGATATAA